CCAGTTGCAGTTCACATTTCGGTCCAGAAGACGACGATAGTTGAGAGGCTCCGTGGGAGGCAAATAGGTTGGTCCTTCGGAGGGGATCATCTATGAGCTATTAGTATCTATAAAGGAATGTTTGGTGATACGGCCAATAGTGTACTTACCTCCCCTTTCCATGGAGTCTTTGAAGTAAACTCGGAGGCGTGTGGAGACAGTGGCGTTCCGAGTGCTTGCTGCTGGTAGGGGGAGTACATGCTGACACCCATTGCGGTCATGCCTGGAGGCATGCCCATTGGGGCACCGGACATGGAGCTAGTCATTGAATCAAATTGGTTGGATGGTCCACCAAGTCCGGCATATGCACCTCCATATTGATGAGGGGTGCCCATTCGGCTTTCGTACCGACTGTTACGACGGGCGCTAGGAGGACGCATCAGCAGATCGGGGTCAGGGGCAAGACGGTCGCCGCGGAAACTGTCCATCAAGTTGTAAGGTGCGTTAGGGTCCACATAGTTCTGATTGATCCCACGCCCACCAAACCAGTTTCCTGGAGAAGGTTCCGCAGCAGGAGCCTGCAGAGTTGTATTGCCAAAAGAGCTCTTTGTATTAGCCCAGATCCCACGAGTGCGGTTGAAAGCGGTCGCTGAGAGTGCGTCGCTGGTATCAGATTGAGCATCTTCGGGGCTGCCCCAGGTATTCTCGCGTGGAATGGACCCCTCAAGTCGCCCGGTTCCAAAGGTCTGGCTGTCGGGTTCAATCTTGACGGTACGACTATTTGCCAGCTCTTGGTCGAGCTTGGATATATGGTTACGAGCTTGAGCAAGCTGTAACTTCAGGCGAAGGACCTCTTCAGCATCTGGGCGGCCATCATCCAGCGTGGCGCTCGCAGGCCTAGTGGTTGGGGCAGTTGTTGGAAAGCCATCAGTAGCTGGCGTGATTGGGAGGGAGTTGCTGGAGGATGCATGGTCCAAGACCCTAGTGTATGCACCATCGTCATCTCCAGACTTGAGTGCCTCGTTCTGTTGGTTGAGAACCGCCTGTTGCTCTGAAAGCCGGGCGAGCAGCTTATCCATGGGATAGGAGTCGCTGACGGTTGATGCATCGTGGGGTATCTTCATCTTTAGTTAGGATCAGATAACGTTGCAAATGCTAGATCAGACTGCTCACCTTTGGGTAGTTTTGGTTGGCCAGCTTCGAAGTGGTCAGAGCTGTAACGCTCCTCTTCAGCGTCGGCATCGCTACAGTCTCCTGCAATAGTCACTATTAGCACTTCCCGGCAAAGCCCAAGGTATGGGGGGCGTGGTTAGTGTAATCTGCCACCTCCTGGCAGCATGAATATTCAAGTACTTACGGCAGCTACTCCAGTACCAGCCACAACTGCATCTCCGAACTGCTTGGCCATGTCGTCCTGGAAAATACCAGCCTTGAGCGGCATGGTGCGTTGGGGGGTAGATCCACGGGATCCGGGAGTTGACATTGCATAGATGATATCACCAGCCCTTGTGGGTAACGAGGGTGACGAAAGTGATTGGGCTCACCACCGGACGGCGGTTCAGAGACTACTCGGCTTGTGCAAGAGGAGGGAGAAGAGAGAAGAGAAAACAGAGACGAGAGAGAAAGAAAGAAAGAAAGAAGAAGAAAGAAAGAGAGTGGTTGTGTGAAAAATCCAGAAAAGAAAGTGGTTTAGATGGAAGAGAAATTCTGCGTGTGGAAAAGATTGTAGAAGAGTTGGAGAGAGAAGAAGAGAGAGAGAAGTAGAGGTAGATGGAAGTTATCGGCTAGTAGCAGTTGGTTCTGAAAAGAGCAGCCTGTAGGGAAACGAGGGCAGGAACTGACAGCTGCTGCCGGCCCCCAATCACCGTCACAGAAAGCCACTCGCTAAAGTGAGAATTTTGGCAAGATTCACGCGCACGCTTTTGGCTGATTGTGAAAAGGTACTTGATGGGTTTAGGGCGCTGAAGGATTAGAGGAAAGTGAGGAGCTCTGCAAAACGAGCGTTGTGAGTGAGGCTGCAGGAATTGCTTGCAGGGAAGAGGAGGCCAAGTTGCCAACTGGATTATCAGACGCAGGGGATTAAATAAAATCGGATACGGCATATGGTGAATTAGTTGCATAAGGACTGTAGGAACGAAGAGTTGGAAGGGAGAACAGAAGGTTCTTCAACGCTGCCCCAGTGAATCAGACCTACTATTTGCCCTAACACGCCCCTTTGTAGATCAGATAAGCCCCAGAGACCTGCTTGCACATACTTTGACCTGCGGTATACGGTATACCTGACATGCCTTGGTAGAACAGCTTGTCGGGGAAGCAACTGCAGCGGCCGCCAGCATCTGTACTAGACTCGCTTCTTAATTGCGAGTCCGTCGTTGGACGTTCTGCCCGATATCTTGCCCTTAGTCCCAAGTCGAGAAGAGTAGACTCCCGCTGCAGCATGCATAAATCCTGAAGACATGTTCTTCTGCCAGTATTAATATTATCCTGTTGCCCATTTAGCACATCATATTTTCACGGGTCCAGCGAGCAGTCCGACTTACTACCGCCAAAACACGATGCCCCTTTTCAGTCTCATAAAGTGCTAGACAAGAATTCATGTTTGTAGCCTCCTCAGACGGAGAGATCGGTAGAAGCATTCGTTTCAAAGTTTTACTTTATTTTCCATACCATTGATATCATATCTCTCAGAGAGTGTCGTTTTTATAGTAGATTTTACACACGCCAATGGTAGATTTATGCCCCGAATCCATGTCCTCTTGCTCTTTCAGTCCAATGCCAGCTTTCATCATATCACATACGACGAATTAAGCCACTGGATGGGATTGGGTCCCCACATCCAGATTTATATCACCAATGCGCCATCTAGCCTCTCTCCTACCGCTTCTTTCCAGGTGTTGGAACTACCAACTGTTAGCCAAGAGTGTTCTTGAATCGGATTCAACCACATACCAGGAGCTGTTGTCTTCTTTTTCGGTGCGCTCTTTCCACGTTGTTTAAGTCTGTTGTCGACACATTAGCATTTCGTCGCAGCATATCATCCTGGCCAGACATACTCCTCAATGTATTCGAATCTGTCTTCTTCCGACTCGTCCCAAGTACCCAGTACGGGACCAAACTCTCGCTTCACATCCTTGATCGTCGCCAGCTTTCGCGGATAGTACGCAGCCAGCGCGGGGCCCTTTAATCGTTGCCGCAGGATTTTGTTGCCCATTCGCTTCCCCTCAGGGTTGTATGTCGTCGCAAAGACTTGGCATTGCGCCTTGGAATTGTCAGCTAAAATCACACGGTATCGCTTTCTTGATTAAATACCTTCATCAACTCCAATATCCGCGCACGAGGGACACTCATCTTGGCATACTCGGCATCTGCTGCTGAGACGCAAGACCGGACGTTGAATTGATGTGCAGAGGTCGTAAATTACAATCGGATCTAGTCTGATCCTGTACTAGCGCTGAACGTTAGTAGTAAAATCCAAGATATTCTAATTGGCTCAGTCATTCAAAGTGGGGCTTTACATTTAAGGGCAGGCACGTCAACTTTCGGCTTGTCCTCTCTGATCTTACAATGTTGATTTCACATTGAAAAGACTCGTCGTAGACAAAATGTCTAAAAGACCAGGTCCGGAAACAGACCACCATAATCTCAAGAGACATAAGACTCTATATCCAGAAAATCACGATGAAAGCAATCATGACGCGGATGATCTCTCCACACAAGCCTTAGTACGACTTGCTGAGAAGGCTGATGAGCTTGTCAATTGCCTACAAGCTCTAAAGAAACAACTATCACGGGGCCAGACTCCTCAAGAGTCGCCTTTAATTGATACCAAAAAGAAACTTGCACAGTTGAGCAAACATTTGCTTCCTTCATTTGAAGTTCTTGGTTCACTTGATGATAACACAAATGCTACTCAGCACTCCCAATCTAAGGAGAAACCATTTAACGACAGAAGAGAGATCTCCGATGTGCCAATTCCATCCGTCACGGTAACGCCGTGGATTTCTGCCGAAATAAAGAGAGACTGGCCACCTCTGCCACGGATCTTGGACCCCAATCTGGCAGAGGAAGCATTTACGCATCCTGGGCTGGGTCGAAATTACAACTACGAACGGTTAGAATGGCTCGGCGACGCATATCTTGAACTAATTTCTACGGCCTTGATTCATCACACGTTTGGTCCGCTGCCTTCTGGGCGCCGCTCCCAACTAAGAGAACGAATTGTTCGAAACGTCAATCTCGCAGAGTACTTTCGACACTATGATATGCAGAAATGGGCCAAGCTTCCGCGCGAAGTCAGCGACAGTCACGGACCTGGTCGAGGGAGATCTAGCGACAAGGATCTTACAAAGACACAAGCAGACATGTTTGAAGCATATGTTGCGGCGGTCGTCCTTTCCGATCCTGAAGATGGACTTTCCAATGTAGTGGAATGGCTAAAGGCGCTTTGGGGAAAGACACTTGAGGAGGATATCAGAAGGGCTGAAGCGTCAAGAAAGAGAGTACCCGAGCCGACAACAACATCCACCGACCCTGTCGTGGAGACTAGCGCCAAAGAACGGTTGAGCCAGAGGATTGTGGTCAAAGGGATCCATCTCCGGTACAAGGACCTGCCTTGTGAGAAGAAGGATAAGAATCTGAAGCTGCCCTTGTATTCTATTGGGGTATACCTGGATGGCTGGGGCGAGAAGGACAAGCTTCTTGGAGTAGGGACGGCTCTTAGTAAGAAAGAGGCTGGCCAGAAGGCGGCTGATACGGTTTTGCAAAACAAGAAATTAATGAAGGTGTATGAAGAGAAGAAGAGGGCCTACATGGTGGCCAGAGATGCCGAGATGGCGAATGAATAATGGTATATAGAATGAAGTACAGATTATAGAATATGGAAATTCATTGCCAACAAGAGTGATGGAAATACGAGACATCTTAAATACACTTTGATCAACGTGTTGAAGCTTTCGAACTTGGCGACTTCCTACTGTGAACGCTCATGAGGTGATTCTGGCTGTCCAGTAGCATCAGTATCAGGGCGCATGGTCTAGTGGTATGATTTTCCCTTAGCATCTTTCTACCTTCTGAGAAGGTGACAGGCTTGGGAGAGGTCCGGGGTTCAATTCCCCGTGTGTCCATTTTTTGCGAGTAGCTTCATCTTGTAAAAGGATGAGAAGGCCTTAATTTTTTTTTTGACTGTTGTTTGTTTCAATTACAAAATCAATGTACCTTTGGAGTTTCGAATGCAATTCCCCAGCTTTTTGGAGAGTGACGTACCACGACTTCGGCAGTTGGGAATGGAAGGAGCACGAGATGGCTTCCCCAACACAAAATGATTCAACATACCACATAAAAATCCGATCACGGTTCGCAGCCCTATTTTTGTTTCGCTGGCATCTAAAGCTTTCACTCTCGTTATCAATTCTCATCGACCTGACACTTATTGAGAGGAATCCAATGCAAATTCATATTGCACAACAACCGTGCTGCTTTCATGTGAAAAGCTTCATCGGACACATTCACTATCAGAAATTTGACCGCCAGAAAGATGCAAAAGGTTACCGGCAAGATCGTGCAGATCTGTTCATCGTAGCACAAATCAGCCACAGCCAATCTCGCTTTCTCAAACATGGGACACGGAGACATCTTAGGGTCAAGGATTCTCGAACAATGAGCCAGAAGCCCGCGACCCTTGAGCCTAGGTTGTAAGCTGATCAAGCCATGGTATTGTGTACCTGCCTTAGTGTTACCTCTCAGCAAGCACGGAGCACAGAGAACACCGCATAAAGGGTTCTGTGGGAAAGGATTTCACGTGTCTCGGTAAGTCAAGGTCAGGTACTCCGTACCTTGCAGTTGACGGCTCGATTTACTGACAGAGTGCTAAAAGTAACATTCCACAGCGGATGATGCCAAGGGTTTAGTGGTCATTCACCAGCCGAGTGCCCCTGTTCTCACAGCGCATTGAACCGCCATGGGCTTACAGAATAGCACATTCTCGGTGGAGCGCGCTGCGCGCCGAGGTTCAATGAATTTGAGACTACCGCAGTTCGTATCATCGCACTCAGGCTAACAAACGGGTCATCATCTAATTGCTTGTTCTTACTTTCAGCCTGAAGCGAAAGCCATTCGCCTTCTTTTTGCGCAAACAGAGATTACGTCTACCTATTCGGTACACTGTCGACTTTTATGCTCGTAGAATCGCACACACCCCCCGGGGAGCGCATTGAACCACCGACCCGTGTCATCGATGCCCTTATCTCTTATTACCAGCATCATCGACTTGCTTTTCATAGACCCCGGCACAAGAGCCTCGCCTCCGACACTTCGCTTGCCGGCGGTGGGGGTGACTCCAGTTTAATCGAACCTCCTGCTTCCTTTTTTAATCTCCAGCCATCTCAGTGCCACCGGGAGCTACTACAAGGCTCCTCATCGCATCCGTCCCATCATGGCGGACTCTGTAGGTGCGGACAATCGCTCCAGAAGCTCAGGTGCTGGTGGCGGTGACAATACCATGCTTACACGCCCTCCTCCTCCCTCTTTAGATAGAGTCTTTGTCCATGCCCTCAACACCGTCAAGAAGATACCCAAGACAGGCGCGTCGCGACCGCCTCCGTCCGAACGTTTACGGCTCTATGGCCTCTACAAGCAGGCAATGGAAGGGGACGTGGATGGTGTTATGGAGCAGCCCACGGCTGGACCGGGCATGTCTCTGGACGAACTGCAGAGGGAACGGGACAAATGGGATGCGTGGAACTCTCAAAAGGGTTTGAGTCGAACCGAGTCCAAGAGAAGATATGTCGAGGCGCTAATAGAGACGATGCACAAATATGCCAACACAGCGTGAGAGAGCACTGTTATACTATCCGCGAGCCAACCGATCGCCGAGGCTAACCAAGATGTTTAGGGATGGTCAAGAGCTCGTTGCCGAACTCGAATTCGTCTGGAATCAGATAAAGGATACCGTACCCGGTTCATCCTCTTCCTCCGGGAGGCACGGCCGCGACGAGGGCCCAATGAAGATCCTCAGCCCCATGAGCGAGATGGACGAGGCCGAACTGCGATCCCAACGACAAATGGACTTGGAAGATGAGGAAGAGGGGGAACTTTGGGGAGTCGATGGCAGCGAAAGATGGAGCGCGCCGTTACCAAACTATCAGCCGAAGTTGCGGCACTCCGCGAACAGATAACAACCGGACGAGAATGGAGATCGAAGAAGGAGCGCAGTATTCCAGCTTGGTTGAATTGGCTAGCCTTCGTCGTCTTGAAGCACCTCGTTATGGATTCGGTCATTCTTTGCCTAATATTAGTATGGATGAGAAGGCGGAAAGATCGGCGGTTGGAAGACTTGGTGAGAGCGGCGCTACAGCTCATACGAGAGTATATCCGGAGCGTTCTTCCATCTCGGTGAAAGAGCAGAGGCACGCTTGGATCTTGGGATATCACGTTCTTGTTGCCAGGCCCAGCAACGACAGCGTAATAGTCGTACCAAACACTCTTGAGGAAACGCTATTTGATTCACATATGCGCCCCAGACCTCTTTTCTTTTTCTTTTTTTTTTTTTTTTTTTTGAACAAACTGAATTCTCTGAAACACACCCTTTCCGAACAAGCTCTTGCTGGATCAACAACAGCTTCGCAATCTCATTATATCCCCCTCACACCGTAAGGCTCGGGGATAGGAATCACAAAACAGAAACGACCAATTACCATCAGTAATGCCGTCACGACTTACTTACACGATCACACAAACACACTTTTCAAACCTTCAAAATACTGTAACCTTTTTTCCCTCTTCTTCTTCTATTCTTTCAAACAACCAGTGGCAGGGAGGGGAGGCTGGTGCAGGCGAAATACCGTTGAAGATAAAGAAAAAAACAAGTAAATAACTTGGTAGTATTCTCGCTTCTTCTTTTTTTTCTCGTTGCAGCGAAATAGATGGAGACTTTGTTATCCGGCAACGTACTTAGCTAGAGAAGCCTTTTTTTGTTACATTTATCTATGTATGTAGAAACAGAAATTTCCAATCATGATTGAAGGTCCTTTTTTTTGGAGTATGAAATGTCAAAGATGTTCTCATATCATTTTTGCTCCTTCTTTCTTTCTTTCTTTTCGCTTACTCGATTTACTTAATTTTTGTTTGCTCAGTTCCATGTGACGTTTGAATGTTTGCTGTGAAATCTCCTTGCCGTTTTTTTCTTCTAATCCCATCTCTCTTTTCTATTGTTCATCTCTCACCCCGCGACTCCTCTTGCATCTCATTTCCACGGTTCAACAACACCCGGTAGTAAAAAAAACCCCCCCATGACAGTGAATATATACACCTTCCCATCCACTCCATCCTAATCTTTTTCTTCTTCTCTCTCTTTTATTTCTTTCCATCTAGTGAAGAGGGCGAAACCTTATAAAAAAAGAAAGGCAAATCTCATCATGCCTCCACACTCCCCTTCCGTCTCCCCCAAATCAAGCAACAAGCCGCCTCCCATCCCGCAGCAGCAGCAGCAGCAGCAGCAACAGCAACAGCAGTCAGACCGCATCCCACCGCTCAACTGCGTAGCCGCCGCCATGTTCGTGCCCCTATCCAACGACCACAACCTCCTCACCCCCTACCCCCCTCCCCACCCCGCAGGACCGCCAGCGCGCCACCCTCAAGGTCATCGACGCCCACGAGGCCCGCGTCAGGTCCAACCTCCTCACCCTCTTCCGGAGGGAGTTCCTGCGCGTCCAGCGCGAGGGCGAGGCCCAGGACGCTGCCTTTTCCTACCCCGACGAGTCCGTCCTCGACCCGGCCCACGAGGCCGCCCTGTGGTCCGACGTGGCCGCCATGACGGCCGACATGTGCGCCCCCGCGGAGCCGGGCATCGACTACAACATACAGGAGGTGCCCCTCCCCACCTTTGACAACATGCCCGCCGCCTCCCCGCGCGAGTGGATGGCCATTGAGCTCATGAGGACCATATCCAACACGTCCAGCAACATATGGGGCTTCGACAAGCACCTCGCCTCCATGCGCGAGGCCGTCGTGGGAAAAGACCCGGAACGCGAGGCCGAATAGAACTCGGCCCGTCGATCGAGCTTCCGCAGCCCGTCTAGCAAGCGGGCCAAGACTGTCCGCTTCAATCTGCCCCCCAAGTCTACCACCCTCCTGGCCAGTGTCCCTATCGCACCAAAGGCCTTTTTCAAGCAATGAGGCGTGAGGGGAAGTGTCAATTGACCCTTGTGTTTTCCTCTTTTACATGAGATGGAGACCAGATTAAACCATGGTGGTGGGGATACGAAACAACAAACATGGTCAAACTTGGAGAGAACTCGGCATAAATCTCACTTTTTATTTCACGAGACAAGCAGAACAAAAAACAAAGTCAAACAAAAACTTTGACAGCTTATTTACCTTGTCACCTCCCAACCCTGACATCCTAATATATGTACAACATCACACATAACAGTCCAGAAGTGCAAGGGAATTCTTCTATTTTAGTACAGCCGCCCATCTCCTTTAAGCTCCGTACGCAACCTGACCCATGGGCCTATCCTCCTCCATACCCGGAGCCATCAAGTTCGTCCTCGGGTCCCCAGTCTCCTTGGCCGCTGAGCAGCGTGCCATTGTGGGTGAGCTATCAAGCGAGGTTAGCATCGTTATACTATTTTCCCGGGGTGGGGGGTAATGAATTGAAGAAGAAGAAGAAATGGGTGTGTACATACCTTCTAGAGATAACATCTGTGAAATAAAAGTTGTCAATGGCCTTCTTGAGAGGTGCATTGCTAGCAGTTGCACCCTTGTTCTGGTCTACCAGCTGAACCTTGCTCAACTCCTTCAAAGCAACGGGCTCAACAACATCGTAAGCGGCGAGCGCAGGGCTAATCTCAACCATGCGATCCCGAACAGCAGCAACATCATCGTACGGTAGAGGAGCACCAAGGAACTCGCTGGCGGCTCGGAGGATCTTCCAGTCAGTTCGGGCAGCACCGGGCAGCGAAGTAGCCGCACGGGTCATCTGTACTCGGCCTTCGGTGTTGATATAAGTACCGGCCTTCTCGGTGTAGGCAGCGCCAGGCAGAATGATATCAGCAACCTGAGCGCCGCGGTCACCGTGGTGGCCCTGATAGACAACAAAGGCATCCTTGGGGATATCCGCCGCGTT